GCTCACTATGTGTCAATGATTATATGGGTTATCCTCATCTCATCTCCTATCCCAGTAGATGTCATTTTATCTTCTACTTGTTTTATCACCCTCATGCTTTTTTTTTTTTTTTGTAGCACGAGATCACAGAAATTTTCAAGCTGAATGAGGTGTGGAAGATCATCTGTAGAAATGGTCAGGATGGCCCATGAAATGCCCACAGGTGTAGTGAGACCGGATTTGGCCAAACTTCACCTGTTCCTAGGTCTGCGGGCAGGATGGAGAAATGAGGGTATCATTGCGTTGAGAAGCCATATATATGCCTAGTCTTCCTGGCACACTGGAAGGCGAGTTGCAGAGCTTGCACTGGTTAACATTTGTGTCTGTGATTTGGATCCTGAAACTTATTTATCAATCTGAGGATGACAAAGCTGAGGAAGGAAGGAGAGTATGCTAGGCGGCATAATTAAGATTTGATGAGATAGGCTGAAACAATCATCTAAAGCTAACAACCAGTTGTAAAAGGATAAATGTAAAACTGTTTTTAGATCTAAAAACTCAGTGACACAAATAGATTATAGAGAAAATCTGGTTTGATGGCAGTTACGGGGGAAACGTTCACACAGTGAGTTAAAGAGGAAACGTTGTTGCCATATACAGTAATGCAGTTTTCAGCTACATTTAAAGGAAGAGCCTGAAATAAAATAAATATGAGCCCCATGCCAGTAATGAGGCAACATCTTGTCCAGTCTGGGGAGCACATTTAGAGGCTCTTTTGCAAATTGGAACAATGTTCAGAGAAGAATGATGTATATGGGAAAGACCTGGACATCATGTCATCATGGGAGACCTGGTAGAAGGAGGGGACAGGTTACATGACAGGAGTCTTCGGATATTTATGGAAAAGGGATTAGGTTTATCTCATGCCGCTTGGAGGGGATAACTTAAACCAACGAAGGGCAGGTTATGGGGAAGCAGATTTTCACTCAACAAAAGTTCTAACGATCAGAGGTGAGTGGGGTCAGCCTTATGAGATTCTGAGCCCACGTGAAGTCCCTACGAATGTCAGGCAAAGGCTGGACTGGCCACCCATTTTGAGGGGAGACGAAGGAGGGTGTAAATGAAAAAGCCGAGAGTCAAGAAAACTGGATTCAGGTCCTGCCTCTGGTTATAGATGTGTAATGTGCAAGTCAGTCTCCTTTTCTAGGCTTCAATCTCTCAGCTCTGAGAATTTAATCATCATTGGCTATAAATTTTTGGTAGCAATGGAAGCCTTTTATCATATGCAATCTCCTGCAACTCCCCCTTCCACCCCAATAAGTAAGCCCAACGTATTACTGCTGGCCACTCCTCACTGCTGGCCACTCCTCACTGCAGGCCACTCCTCACTGCAGGCCTGTCTTCCAGGAACGCTGCAGCAGAGCTCCTGGGAATGGGTTGAGAAGCTATGGGCCAGCCAATCTCCCAGCCCTAAAATTTTGTGATTTTCTAAGGTTTCTTCCTACTTTAGTTTTCAGTTTTATAGATTTGAACCCCTCATTTATTCATGAGGTGCCAGAGACTTAGAAAAGGGATTTATCCAAGATCTTATAGCTGATTAGTGGCAGAGTTATAATTAAAACACATAACTCCTAGTCTGATCCAGTGCTCCTTCCTCCACCAGGCTACTTCCAACTTCTACTCATGATTTCTCTTAGCATTTGTCCCTGCTGAGGTCCTAGAAAACTGTGCTGCCCTCTGTAAATTCTTTCCCCCTTGGAAAATGAACAGGAAGGCAACAGATCCAGTCTGAAACATTGCTGCAGCTTGAGACAGTGATCCAGAATTTGTTTCTCTATGTATTCCTTTAGTTCACTGAGACTGTTTGCATGGGCTGAGAAGTGAAAAGTAGCTGTGGCCCAGACTTCTGGTTGTCCTACATTATCTGTTCTCTCCTTCCTTTTGGATTGCTGCCCAGAATAAATATATTTCCCAGTCTCTTTTGCAACTAGATATAGTGCTGCAACTAAGTTCTGGCCAATAGAGTGTGATTGGAAATGTTGCGTATACTTTACGGAAAGTGTCTTTAATGAGAGGGAAAATGCCCTTCTTCCATAAGGCTGGAATGTAGGCATGGTGGTTGTACCATCAACAGCCACCCTGGATTGTAAGGTAGAAACCGTGTGTTGAGAATAGTGGAACAAGATAGTAAGACCTTCAGTCTCTGATGATCCCGTGAAGCCTCTTTACCAGCCCCAGACTGTTTCCTTCTGTCTTAAGGGCAAGAGAAATAAGCTTCTATTGTTTAAGCCACCATTGCCATTTTTCATCAACTGTCATTGATTGTAAGACGGAATTATTTTACATATCACTAAGAAAAAGAAACTACTGCCGAGTAAATGGGTACCCCGTCCAATCGTATGACACATTCCAATTTCAGAGAAGTTCCAATGTAACAAAAGTGAGTCTTATTACATGAAATGCAGTATTTTGTTACTCACAGCCAAGCCTAATCCTGATTCAAGAAACATCAGGGATAGAAAAGATGTCAAGTTCTAAATAAAGAACGTGATAATCACGTAGAGGAAGAAAACGTTTCTATATAAAAGAATGACTCATAAAAATAGTGACACATGACTCAATTTAGGGAAGTTTCTCCTATACTTCTCAGTCTGGTTTGGATTAACTGGGGAATTATGTATGGCTATTTGGATTTGGCCATCAAGTGAGATGAGACTAGGGGATGAGTGAGCTGGTTTTAAGATGTCAGGGACACAAAGCTGAATGCTAAACCAGTCTCCACTGTGTGGTTTGGCTTTTAGAGTTGCTGACTCCTTGGTTTCTTCTCCCTAACTCTGCAGGGTCCTCCTAGATTTGAGAAAGACAAATGGGCAGCTGATGACCAAGACAAGCTTACAGCCGACAGGCTCTCCCTTAGCTGAGATCGCAACATGCGCAAAGCTTTTCTCACACCGGTCACTGCTTCTGCTTTCTGGGCAATTTGAGCCCTGGTCTGGTGCAAAAAGGAGGTGAGCACTTTTGGTCCTCAAGGATAGAGTGATGCCTTTAACCTATGACAATCCAGTATCAATGTACTGTTGTGATTAAAACATTAAAGGCCAGAATGACAAACAAAAGGGAAATCTACCTTATCCAAAAGTGGTTTTAAGAGGAAATGTCCATTCTGTTAGTCATTAAAGCGGGGTTACTTTCATGAGGAAGGCCCACTAGACCATTTTAAAACAATAATACAATAACTTTTGTAATCTTTAGTGCTCCTTTGTTTCTAAAATCTACCAGGAGTCCCAGGGTCTTCATAGATTTTGCTGACTCTATGCTTTATCATTTATTGACTGTACTAATGTGACAAGTGTTTTACATTATTTAATACATCAACCCCACAGGTAGGTAGTATCATTCTCATTTTAAAAGATAATTAAGGCTCAAAGACGTTAACTTCATCACAGTAACACAGCTAATAAATGGGCTCTGAACTTAGGTTGGTGAAGTTGCCATCACAATTTAATTGCACTGTAGAAGCAGGCCTTTAAGCTTCAGTTACTGAAATATGTAAAGTTCTGCTGAGATTAATTTTATCCTTCCATTCAGAAAGTCACTGGGCACTGAAGGCTTGTGACTATTCTGAAGGAAAGCCTTCTCTGAAAAAGACAAAAAAAAAAAAGTTGAGGAAACAATGAGAGATGGACTGGAGGCTAAGCATGGTCACTCCAAGCTGTACTTAAATTACACGCAGGCAACTGTTCCAATGGCCCGTGTAATCACCTGGCAGCACAGGAAATCTTTGTCAGTGATGGAGGTGCAAAAAGTTCCACAGTAACATTTCCATAGCAGATGAGGTGTTGGGCTGTTGGGCTGACTGCTTATTTCTACTGAAATACATCATGTGACTTTTTGGGGAAGCAGTATTTATGACAATATTTTAATAATTTTAGAAATTTTCTGCTCAGCTTAATTTCATGCATAAATTTTCTTGGAAAGAAAAAAATCCCTACAAATCCCTATTTAACCTTGCCAATTCTGATGAAGATACATTATAATGAATCATGGGAATTTCTTTTATGATCTCATGTTCTACATAAAAACAGCTCAGCTACTAAAAGGACTGAGCCAATTCATATTGGCCAGATTCGAATTCTTCCTGGTTTTAACAAAGTGGAAGCTCTACCAAATGATTTCCTCTAGACTGAAATACATTAAAATGGAATAAAACGTCACGTCCAAATTCATTACATTTCCCCCCAGATACCAAAGCACAAAGACACCAGACTAAATTTCTTTTAAATTATTTTATTTTTGTGTAAGCTAAAAGGAAATTTACACACTGAAATCTCAAAAGACCTTGGGCATGCACATTACCCTTGTCAGAGGTTCTTCTACACGTCTCTCTTTTTTCCATAGGAATTTCCCCAAACATTTAAAACCCATAGTTTTTACTGTATGTACAGCCTAAACCATAGCAATCTATGATTATGTAATTTTACACTGTGCAAAATCCTCAAAAAATAGTGGTATGAGAACAAAAAAATCAGTAACAAGTAAATTTCATTGTAAGACATTCATGTAATTTGGTCCTTCTCCAAACCAAACTGATTTAAAACAGACACAATTTCTTTAAACCCCTACAAATCAAGTTCTGACAATGATCCAGACCCTATAACAAAGGAGCAATCAATGAAGTACCTTCAAAAGGTCAAACAGCAACACACCAGATTGAGATTAAAAAAATAGCACAAAAATGTTAACAAAAGCCAGATCTGAAACAAACTTACCACACACAAAATTAAAAAAAAAAAA